GGCAGGTGTGCACACATGTACATGTATGTCCTGTGTATGTGTGTGAACACGTGCTTCTGCACGTGCATTTGTGTGTCCGTGCATGTTTGCATTTGTGTACACGTGTGTTCATTCACACATGTGCACGTTTTGCGTGTGTGTGCTTGTATGTGTTTTGCATGCATGGAGGTGTGCACTTGCATTTATGTGTGTCACGTGTGCATACACGTGCATGCATGAGTTTGTGTGCGCATTTGCGCGTGCATGTGTCTGTGTGTGCATTTGCGTGTATGCGTGTGTGCGCATTTGCGTGTACGCACGTCTTTGTGTGCATTTGCGTGTGTGTGCGTGTGTGCATTTGCGTGTGCATGTGTCTGTGTGTGCATTTGCGTGTGTGTGCGTGTGTGCATTTGCGTGTGCATGTGTCTGTGTGTGCATTTGCGTGTGTGTGCATGTGTGCACCTGCGTGATGTTCTGAGGAGAAGGCCACCCTGACGTGGGCACTGTCCGGGCTACCAGTCCCCATTGCCCCTGCCGTGTCCGGGACCAGCCTCCCTGCTCACGGCAGAGTTCAGATCTCCGGCCCCTGATGGAGACTCGTCCTGGACACAGCTTTTTTTTTTAACGTCGGCCGCAGTAAGAGCTGGAGTTTGTAGCATGACCCGACACACACGCGTGCAGGTGTACGTTAGCACAGGGGTTTCGCACACACGTCAAGGTTGCAGAAGCAGCGCTCACCGCTATGTGTGCAGTGTGTGCCGACAGTTTCAGTTCTCAGTGCAACCCCCTAAATCAGTCTCCCACCTGCTAGCGGAAGGTACCCCGGTACTCCCTGGGGGCCCCATGGGCGGTTTCCAGCCGCGGACCAGGAGGCCGTGAGCGCACGCTCTCGTGTGGAGAGCATAAGCGGGCTCACCTCTCATAGCGCCTCATTTTCCATAAAGTGAACCGACAGGGAAACTCTAACCCTACGACACCCCCAGTAACCCTCGAAAGGCAGCTTAGGGCGCTATGGCCGCCGGACTCACCAGCGACCGCCCCCCACTTCTGACCGTCGAGGTCTCGGGGGGCCCCCACGCCTGCAGACTCCCTCGGTCCTCGTGGGGCTGCACGGGGCTTCCTCCGTGATCACCCCACTGTGCAGATGAAGGAACCACGGCCCAGAGGTGAAGGGACTGTCCCAAAGCCCCACGCTCGGCTGCCTGCCCATGGCTGCCCGTCACACTGGGCCCTGTGTCTGTCTCCGTGGACAGAGGGCTGAGGGACCCTGGGCTTGGGGAGGGCACGTCCTCAGACCCACGCAGACCCAGGAGCTCGGCGCCGGTTCCGTGTCAGGGCCCAGGCCCACCCCCAGATGCGGTGACTGGCCAGGGGGACAGAACTCAGCAGAGCATTTCATCCAGGGTTGTGGGTTATTACAGAGCGGGGACGCCGGTTCTGGGGGGTCACGCAGACCGCTCAGCTCTCCTGGCAACGACGCATCACCACGGGTAGGGAGTGTCGCCAGGCGGGGACCTGTGGCATGCCTCGGCGCCCGGAGCTTAGCGGGGCTCCCGCGCCCAGGGCTGATCTCCCATGTCTACCTCAGTGTCCAGCCCTTGCAGCCCCCAGGCTGACTCCCCGCAGCCCGACCCCTGTGTGGGTCACACTGCAGCATGGACGCTCTGGCCTGGCCCAGATCCCAGCAGACAAGGACACTCTTACCAGGAAGGGTGTCCAAGGGCTCAGAGGTCACCCCCTGGGAGGGGCACAGGCCAGTGCAGGGGGACAGACGAGGCGCCGCACACACAGCCAGCGGTCTTCTGTCCAGGCCCCTCCCGCCAGGAACAGCCGTTCTGAACCTGTAGGGTCCTAGGGGTGGGGCCAGGGGGCTGCCCCAGACGAGGCCCAGCCTGGGAGCCCTGAGGGGCGGGGCTGCCTCAGGAGGAGGCCCCCCATTCCTGGCTCCCTGCCTCAGGAGGAGGCCCCCCATTCCTGGAGCACCCCATCACGGCGGGGGCCGAGTCGTGCGGTCTCACACACTCAGCGCCGGTCCTGCCTCGTCTCCGCCTCCAGAACCCCGGGGTGGACTTCGGGGACGTATCCGAGCGGCTGGCCCTGCGCCAGAGGCTGAAATGCCGCAGCTTCAAGTGGTACCTGGAGAACGTGTACCCCGAGATGAGGACCTACAACGACACCCTCACGTACGGAGAGGTACCGCCTGTGCCCGGGTGGGCCTCGGGTCAGGCAGGCTTCCCGCCCATGCCCCGAACCCTGCCACTCCGGTGCCCGGCCCCCAGCACGCGCACGTCCCAGCTCCCTTCCGAGGAGCCCGGCCAGCCCCTCCCCAGCGAGCTCACCGGCCGGAGCCCAGGCCCCTGCCCCGCGCCCCTCCTCGCCACAGGGCAGACCCTGAGCCCCGCCGGGCCTCAGCCATCCCTGGGCGTCAGGCTCGTTCCTGAGACAGCCGGCCGCAGAGCAGGCCCCTCTGGCCCTGTCAGGGGACAGGGTGGGTGAAGCCCCCAGCCCGGCCTGGCCTTGAGACCCCGCCGTGCGTTCCTCCTTGCGCTTCTGGCTGCAGGTGAGAAACAGCAAAGCCAGCGGCTACTGCTTGGACCAGGGAGCCGAGGACGATGACCGAGCAATCCTCTATCCCTGCCACGGGATGTCCTCACAGGTAGGGCAGGGGGACGCGGGGACCGCAGGGCAGGGATGCGGCATGCCTGCCAGGCGTCCCGACGCCACTGTGCTGTGAGGCCACCCGGAGTGGTGTGGGGGCCTCCAGGACACACACACACGCAACAGACACACGGACTCACACAGAACACACTCACACACACTCAGACCCAGCACAACACAGTCATCTTACACACTCACACCCAGAGTCGTTCATACACGCCCATCACCCACATGCTCACACACAACATGTTCACTCAGTCACTCACTCACACTCACACTCATTTGCAACACACTCATTCTCACACTCACATTTACTCACACACACACACAGTCGCACTCAGTCTCACACGCACACTCACTCATGCTCCAGGCAAGTGAGGAGCGAGGCCTTTGGTGCCAGTGGGCTTGGGCGGATCGTGAGGCCCCCAGGCCCGGGGCCCCCTCCGGGGTGACGGTGGCAGTCACCCTCAGGGATGTGCCACAGGGGACGCTGACGGCAGAGCGTTTGCCACGGTGCAGACGTCACCCAGGAGATGGGCGCCGTCATGCACGGGACGCTGCGGTGCACGGAGCACTTCATGCCGGGCGTCCACCAGGCCCGACGCCCCGTGAGCTCCTGGTTACGGACGGGGACCCGAGGCACGGAAGGTGGCATGACGTGCCCAGGGCCAGGCAGGGGGCGTGGCAGGCGTCTGCAGCGCTGGTCTCCGCTGTGAGCGAGCGCCGCCTTCGCAGAAACAGTGTGAGCTGGGACACGGCCGTGTGGCCTTGGCCCCTCGTGTGCTTGCCTTGGGGACTGAGGGTGCAGGAGGTGACTCCGAGGCTGAGGTGTGGTTCGGGGGCGTGGTGGCCCCGCCGGGGACGTGGGAGGAACGGGCTGGCGAGCGGTCCCAGCCCTGGCCCGGCCTGGGAGCGGCCGCCCAGGTCACCACAGCCCGCGGCCTCCGCAGCTGGTGCGCTACAGTGCCGAGGGCCTGCTGCAGCTGGGCCCCCTGGGCTCCACCACCTTCCTGCCCGACTCCAAGTGCCTGGTGGACGACGGCAGGGCCCGCACGCCCGCCCTGAAGAAGTGCGAGGACGTGACGCGGCCGGCGCAGCGGCTGTGGGACTTCGCCCAGGTCAGCGGGGACCCGGCTGCCCGTGGGCCAGGCCGTGGGGGGCTGACAGCAGTGGGGACCCCGCGCCAGCTGCTCCCGCGTGAAACCCGTCTCACAGGGGTCAGGCCACCTGCCCAGGGTCACAGCCAGAGAGGGGCCGGCCGGTCTGCCCAGCCAAGGCTCACACTGCCCTGCCCTGCAGCCTGCGCCTGGCGAGCTCCGGGGACGGGCAGCCTGGGACGGCCACCTGCAAGCCCTCGTGCCGGCCGCAGGCGAGAGGTCCGGGCTAGCTCCCCAGGCTCGGCTGGATCAGCCCCTGGGCCCTGTGGGGGCAGAAGGCCGAGCCCCGAGGACAGACAGGAGGGCTGACGAGTGTGCTGCTGGCCTCCCTCTCAGGACCAAGGGGGGTGGACAGCACACGCACCCTCGGTGGGTGGTCGTGGACCCAGTGCCTGGGAAAGGGTGCAGGACATGGGGCCAGCCCTCCCGGGCCCTCGGCTGCGTCCCTTCCACCCTCTGCCCAGGCACTGCTGAGCCCCAGGAATGTTCTCCCCATGTCCCCGACCACCCACTCACGCCCAAGCTCCTGCTGGGCCGCAGATGTCCAGGACGCATGCCTGATCTCCGTCCCGACAGCCTCGGCCACCGAGCAGGCCCGGGACAGTGTTTGGGGCTTGGGGCGTGGGAGGCTGTGGGGCTAGGCGGAGCCAACCTGGGTCCCCAAGAGGCCAGAGGAGCTGGGACACGCAGTCCCCAGACCGCGTGTGGGGACACAGCTGGAGAAGGATGGAGAACATACAGGGTGTGGCCCGGGGGTCCTCAGGCTCCGGCCAGTGTCCTCGGTGTTTGGGGACCAGAAGGCCTGTTGAGGTGACCGAGGGCAGGTCAGACATGCCAGAAGTGAGGGAGGTGCCAGGGACATGCCCGAAGCCTGGACTCTGTCACCTGGTCACCCTCAGACCCCGGGAGCAGGGCCGATGGGAGGGATGTGGGGGGTAGACAGGGCCCCGAGTCTCAGGCGGCCATGAGCGACCACGTGGGGCTTGCACCCCTCACTCCCGAGGTGCCGTCGGGACAGCCCCGGGCGCTGACCCCGTCTCCCTCCCCTGAAGAGCGGCCCCATCGTGAGCCGAGACACCGGCCGGTGCCTGGAGGTGGAGCTGTCCAAGGACGCCAGCTTCGGGCTGCGGCTGGTGCTGCAGAGGTGCTCGGGGCAGCGGTGGACCATCAGGAACTGGATCGAGCGTGGGCGGCACTGACCCCCGCCCCTTCCCCAGCACGGACCCCAGGCCTGGGGAGGGCGCCGCCTCGCGCCCGTGCCCAGAGCCCGGCCGTGCCTGTGCCATCTCCGGCTGGGACCTCTCCTCGGCTGCCGGCAGCCAGCGGGCCCTGTGCCCTGGGGCAGCAGGGACCCCGCTCTGGAGGCCAACTTCGGGGTCAGCCACCTGCCAGGAGCGCGGACCGTCCTGGCTGGGCCTCTGCCCGAGCACACCGCTGAGAGCCGGCCCCGGCCCCACACCTCGTGCCTTCCCACGGTACCCGGCCCAGCGCCTGGATGGCCACCCCTTTTGCATGTGCTGAGGCCCCGTCCATCCCCCAGGCAGCAGTGCCCGTGGACTCGGGGGGCGGCGGGCCACGCCCTCCTGCAGCCACCCCTCGGACTCCAAGAGCACGCCGAGCCTCTCCGTGGCCGGCGCGAGGGGCGGCAGGGGCGCCCGCCCCGGGGCAGTGCGGGTGTGACGATGTCGCTGCCTCGATCCGAGGAGCCGGCTAAACGCTGCGGACCTTCGTTTCATCCGCCAGAGTCGGGGCTGGTCCGCTGTCTCGGGGGGGTCCCTGTCCCAGCGCCCGACCCAAGGGGTCAGCCAACGAGGACCCACGGCCCCTCGCCCGTTTTTATAAATAAAGTTTTATCGGCACATGGCCACGCCCACCTGGTTATCTGTTGTCCATGGCGGCTTTGGCCTCCAGGGCCGGAGCTGAGAGCTGGCCTGGGCAGGACGACTCTTCCTGCCAGTGACAACTGCAGGGCTTGGGAGGGACCAGGAGGAGGTCCTGCCTGCCCCTCCCCCGGTGGCCCCCTGCCGAGCAGCTGCTTCCTCCTGCTTCCTGTCCTGCTGTCCAAGGGGGGTGGGGGTGGGGGTGCCCCGAGCTGGCCTGGCCCGCGGGGCAGTGGGAGCAGACGCAGGAGGGCGCTGGGCTTCCTGTTGGCCTCACCTTGCTACAGTCAGGTGGCCCGTGCTCTGCACAGGCCTGGGAGCCTGGCCCAAGCTCCAGAAGCGCCGCAGTCAATCCCAGGGGAGTCGCTTTCCAGGAGAGGAAAAGTCGTTCCTGGTGCCGCCGGGGGCCCCAGATTCCAGGAGCCGTCTCCCCAGAGATCGGCCCTGGAAGAGGAAAACATGACACTGCAGTCCCTGGGGGGCGAGGGCCCTCACCTGTCCTCAGGGTCAGAGGGGACGCGCGTGGTCATCCTGCCCTGAGGTGGAGCAGTGAGTCTACACCTCACTGACCTTCATCGCTGGCCCAGTTACACGTGCCCATCCCCGGGGACCTGCCCAGTGGGCGTGCACCCCCACAGAGCCCCTGCCTCCACCTCTCCTCCCTGGGGACCTGCCTACTGGGTGTGCACCCCACAGAGCCCCCCTCCACCTCTCCTCCCTGGGGACCCCGATCTCCCCCTCCTCCAGGTCCTGCTCCTGCTGCTGGGAGAAGCTCCAGAGGGTCCCAGTTTCTCCATTCTCGGCAGAGAATTCTACAGGGTCCCACCCAAGCCCCCAAACACTCTATTCTAGGTGGTCCCCAAATTCTAAGTGAATGATGGAAGCAAAAAGCTGGTGGTGAGTGAGGCCTCAAAAGCCAGTTGCTAGCCAAGGACCTACCCGCTGGGTCCACAAAAATCCAGAAGTTATGACATGTGGCACCATGAGTGAGCAGTGTCCTGTTTGTGGTTTAACATGGGACATACCATGAGCTCAAACTTACAAAGCTCACCTGTGTTAGGACTCGCTAGGCAGTGAGAGTCATATCAAAGTCGGCTGGTTCGCAGCCCGCACAGGAAACCTGACACCTAGAAAATTACCTCTCAACATCGCGACGAACCGCCTTGGGAGGTGGTGCGTTCCCATGTTTGAAAGCCTGCTCTGTCGGCCAGAGTCGTGGCTGGGCCCAGCTCCTGCGGGCACCAGGACATGCGAGGGTGGAGGAGGTGCCCGGGGGGAGGATGGCACTGACCGGGTCCACAGGCTGGAGAACAGGCAGGTCACCCAGGTGGCCAGGCGGAGGCACCAGCACAACTAAGCTGCAACAGGTCGGCCTCCTTCATAAAACGTGGTCATGAACTCTGTCGGCCAGAGTCGTGGCTGGGCCCAGCTCCTGCGGGCACCAGGACATGCGAGGGTGGAGGAGGTGCCCGGGGGGAGGATGGCACTGACCGGGTCCACAGGCTGGAGAACAGGCAGGTCACCCAGGTGGCCAGGCGGAGGCACCAGCACAACTAAGCTGCAACAGGTCGGCCTCCTTCATAAAACGTGGTCATGAACAGGCTTTCCGGGAAGAACTGCCCGAGGATCCTGGGGCTAACTCAAAGCAGAGATCCGCCCCCGCCCCACCTCCACCACCACCACCACACCCCCCACGAAGAAATCCATCCGCTGGGAAGAGATAGAAGGTGGGCAGGACATGCACTGCGGGCATGCAGCTCACGGCCACATGGTGGCGCTGCTGAGATGGTCCCTGTGTAGTTTTGTGATGGACATTTGTCCAACAGCTGTCCCTGCTGGTCTGGACCCCTGCCTGCACGCCACGTGTGCCCCACGCTGGGGCCGGTTCACAGATCTTCCCAATTTACAGTGACATGCACTCCCATTGAGGTGCCCTGGGCTCAAAATAACTTCCGAGCCCATCTATGGGCTGTATCCGAGCCAAGTCCACTCCCCGAACCCTCCGGCCCTGTGTCCACTCCTCTTTTGCCTAAAGCTCCAATCATTTTTCTTCTTTGCCTGTTTTCAAAGGCACACACTCGGCACGAGGCGGGCCCCGGTTTCACACGCAGCTGCTTCCGCAAGCCTGTTCCTTCCATGCTGCCTGACAGCCTAGTGTTATTTTTTTCTTTTAAAACAATAGTCGTGTTTCAAATGGCCAAGATACAAGCAAACAGAATTTAATAACACTTAATAGCAGACCTGCTTCTTTCGTTAATTCAATTATAAATTGGCTCTGTAGCAAATTCAGACAAATCCACATTGTTTGTTTAAAACGGTTCACTGGTTACCAAACCTAGTAACGGGGCCTTGGAAGGGGCTGTTAATACTCAGATGCTTCTGATGAAAAGCAGTGAACACAGATTTCTCCCTTTCCTCTGCTCTTGGTAGAGATAATGAGAATCAGAATTTTGTCCAACAAAAATCACTCCAGTGAGTCTTCCTTTACCACTCAGACCGCCTGGGTGAGTGGAACCTGTGGGAAGCAGTGGGCAGTGGGATTTGGCCCAGGGAGTGGGGTCCCCAGGAGGGCAGGGGTGGGGCAGCCCCCAACACCGGGGGCAGCATGCAGGCCTGGCGAGGGCTGGCCGGGCACCCGACAGACAAGGAACAGAGCCTTCTGCAGATTCAGGAGAAGCCTTCGTGCAGCCATCTCCTGGTCCCGAGAGCCGGGCTGGCCTGGAAGAGGACACGGGATGAGGGGCACTGGTGTCTACAGCCTCCTCCCACCCAGTGCCCACCCCGTCCTGGGGCCCCTGGCCCAATCCCGGGCGCAGATGGCAAAGGGTACATTGTGGTTCCCCCTTCCAGGGGGTCCCTGGGCATTATCGGCTTTCAGAGCGGAGCCCTCCCCCCCCACATTCAGCAGACATGGGGGGGGTGAGAGGTCCAGGTGACGGGCATATGGGTCTCGGTCCTCTCCTCCACCCCCACACCTGGCCAGCGTCCCACAGGCCCGGCCGGGAAGGGCCCCAGCCTCACTTAACACTTACTCTGAGATTCCTGGTCACACCTGCAAATTGCGTGGTGGGTCCTGCCCACACGCCTGCCACACCTGAAACCTTTCCCCAGGCCCGCCTTTCCACAGCGACTTGCCTGGGCCAGTCATTTATTCACTCGTTCACTCACTCATTTATTCAACAGGTTCGCTCCGAGCACAGTGGCGGGTGGACAGGGACGACGGGAGCCCCGCCCCCCGCCAAGTCCGAGAGTGGGGAGCAGGGTGCAGGACCCCCTGGGCCAGGTGAGTCACGAGCGAGGTCTCCACAAAGGTTTGCGCAGAGCTCTATGACGTGACTTCATAGCGCGTCACCACTTTGGTTCCTGAGAACCGAGTGTTTATAATCGAAGGAAAGGCTACTTTTCATTTAGAAATATCGACTAAAAAACACCAACTAGGCGTTCGTTACCGAAAGGACTTATTGCGGGGCTAGGGGGGAAGGTTGCATCCCGGTGCGCACAGACACAGCGAGCCACGTGCACGTACTGTGGGCCCCAAGGCCAAGTGCACACGGCGCAGAGAGAAGCTGGGACCAGGCCCTGCGGCGTGGCGCGGAGGTGACAGATGCGAGGACTCCGCCCACAAGGCCTAGCTCCGCCCACAGACTCGTCACCACGGAGACGGGGCTCCTCGGCGGACCTGCTCCCAGGAGGGACGTGGCCTGCCCGGGGAGCCCGCGTCCGCTTCCGTGGGTCCTGACGAGCGTGGGGCTGGGGAGCGCGCGGGCCTGTCCGAGCTCGGGGTCCGAGCACGGAGGCGCGAAGGGGCGGCAGTGGCCGCGTGCACGGGGTGCGAGCCCCTAACTCGAAGAGCCCCGAACGCCGCAGAGAAGCTGCACCCGGTGAGCTAGGCCGTGGCGCCCGTGGGGCCCGGGCGTGTTGCTTCCCCGTATTAGTGAGCTGCTCCCCCAGAGGCCAGAGTTAATTAACTGGCAAGCTCGGTGAGTCTCACAGTTACCTGCTCCGGGGTAAATAAGATGAGCAGTTTTGTTTTTCATTCATGCTTGCTCTTTTAAGCACCTGATAGTCATTTTAAAATTAAATTAAATGGCTTATCTGTGCTGATGGGAATCGACAGGGCCATCTTTCTTGGGGGACTAAGTGGTGGCTGACAGGCCTGCCACCCTGCTAACAGTCATCACAGCACCATTTAGCCACCACATTATGGGGCTTCAAAGTAATGCATTTCCAAACTGGGTTCATTCTTCCAGGAAGGTCAGTCGAGTGTTGTCCTTTCTAACCTCAGAACCCGCCTTCACGTGGTGTCTGGTCTGTGGTCTGGAAGCCACAGTGGCCAGATCGGCTGCCAATGTCCCCA